TTAGTATCCTTATTGGGCAGACCCTTTTGAAGGGGGGCCCTTTTAAACCCTACTTCTGGCTCTCTTCAATTCTCAATAAGGTCCCTTACCTTATTGAGAGGGTCTATATCCGAAAGGGTCCCCCTACGTAATCATAACACCCAAGTAGGACCATCAGGATCCTGTTGAGGGCAACAGCACCGGAGTCGTGCGCTGGGCCATGTTCTTTCCAAGGCCGAAATCAACACCATTGATCCTAAGCCAAAAAGGTGCAGGGTGTAGGGTTTAGGGGAATTGATCCTAAGCCCGAGAAGTTCAGCTTATTAAACTCCCAAAGACGTAGTTACATTTCTGCAACACAAGCCGCGGATCTGTTTGGCAGATTCGAAGAGGAGGCCTTCGTCGCTTTTCTTCAGGCCACCCCAGGGAGAACATGGGAACTTCGCAATTCCCTAAACGGTCGGTTTCCCTAAGGGTCCATGTACCCAAACAGTATATACTTTGTTGGCCTTACAGTAGTCCCTATATAGGTGCTTTGGGGCCAAAGCATATACTATTTGGGTACATGGACCCTCAGGGTTTAGGTTCAGGGTTTCTCAGGGTTTCTGGATTTGAAGACGGTTGGGTTTGTCGTTACATACAGCGCCCACCTCCTGGTGTTTTACGCTGGCATCTAGGATGTTTGGGGGCCCTACCCTAAACCCTAAACCCTAAAGGCCAGGTAAACGGATATAATCAGCTCTTCGGCTTACAGCTTCCTGGTCTCATAGCCAGAGAGCCCAATATTTTTAGTTAGTCGCATGGTTTCAGGTGTATTCCCTGATTCACGTAGGATCGGAGGCCTCCAGACCCGAAAGCCCCCCTCTAAACCCTAAGCCCTAAAACCTAAAACCCTAAACCTCCAAACCCGAAAGCCTAAACCCTGAATTCGACGCTTTCGTCGTACCAGGAGCCTCGCCAGGCTTTTCCTAGTTGTGAGTGCTGAAACCGGTTTAGGGGTTCAGGGTATTAGGGTTTAGGTTTTAGGGTTTAGGGTGAATTAAACCCTAAAGCCTAAGGCTTAAACCTTGAATTCAACCCTAAAGCCTGCATGCTGAATTAAACCCTACCCTGCGGTAGTGCACACAGCTGAAACTGCAGCAAACTGACGAATCTTCTACCCCGTGCTCCTCGGCAAGGTGAGCTCTTGTTCCGGAGTTGAATTACTTGGGGGCTCAGTAGGTCACCTTTAACCTTTTGGGGTTCTACCAGCCATTAAAAAGGTGAACCGTTTTTCCCATAATTAGGAAATTCCGTTATTGACTACAGATCCCTGTTATACCTCAGGCTTGACAAGAACCAAGGCAAGGTGAGTGAGGAGTGCACTGCCCGTTGACGTTTCTTCAGCTTGATTTTGAGAATTATTCTTACAGCTTGTCCGAAGGGCTGTTCCGGTCTTCGGTGGGTTTTCCATAGAAAGCTTCGAGTATTCTAGCTACTCCTATGTATGACGTGCCAGCGCCTTGTTTTCCGCATTGTCGGGGGCTGGCGGAGGTAGCAGCAAACATTGTTGCAATAGCTAAACTCCAATGTGCAGACGCTTTATGAGGGTCGGAAGAATTATGAAAGTTCTCCCTTGGGGCTCCTTACTATTGATCGCTGTACCCCAAATCTTCTAAATAATCAGGCCCATTCCGTCATGATCCCACGCTTGGATTCTGTGCCTTGGAGGTGGCGGGCCGGCCTTTGTCGCTACGACCCTCGGCTGCATGAGGTTTGGGATCAAAGGGTTTGGGCTTAGGCTTGGGGGATCGGGGCTCAGGGTTTAGCATGGGGCTAGTTCTCTCAATTAGGGTCCCTTTTAGGGTCCCTTTCATAAGGATGCCGTATTATTTTGGGGATCCAAGAATGGGGGCCCTAATTTAGAGAACGACCCACGTCTTCCGGGTTTGGGGTTTGCGGTTTGGGGTTTAGGATGAACATTTCACGTATTGCGGAGCTGCTCTGTGCTGTTGCGGTTGTCTCCCGGGTGGTTTCCGTTGCTTTCGGCTTCGCGAGCATGGTCTTCACATACGAAGCTCGAGGTCCCTTTTGCCCACGCTAGGGCTCCATGTAAATATACAGGCAAATTCGGCTCTTGATGAATCAATGAAAGTAGTCCTGAAAAAAGGTACTTTAAGGCCTTTGTAAATACTATATAGGTGCATAGAGCCTTAGGGCAACGACATGGTTGTCAGGTGCAAACCCCATGTTTAAAGGCTTTCATCCCTGTCAGAACCCTGTAAGGAACCCCTGTCGGACCCAAAAAGGAAGCCAATACTCCCCAACCACAATCCCTCTACCCCAAACCCTCTAAATTCTAAACCCCAAACCCTGAACCCTAAACCCTAAACCCGAAAGTACCCTTATGTTTGCTTAGTAGCTTGGAGGGTCGCCCACAGTCCTCAGGGGTTTTTGGTTGAAACATACTATAATATACCCGCCGGAACCCTGGTCTAATCAGGTTTAGGGTTTGGGGGTTTAGGGTTTAGGGTCTTATCAAGTTAAGAAATACCGACCCCTAAGCCCCTAGTAGTGGTGTAGTAAAACATAGCTGCTAGGACTCACGCGGTAGGCTGTGCAACCACATGTTTCACATTGACAAGTACTATGATGTTTGGCTCAAGACATGACAGGAAAACAAGGTCTACTTGCATTTCTCTGCGGTAGGCCTCTGTGTGGT